AAAAAAGAAGGGGAAAAGGGGGGGGGGGGGGGGGGGGCAACGTTTGGGTTGGGGGGTCTCGAGTTCCCCACGGTGGCATACGGCGGTGCTTCGAATTTTGTTGAGAAGACTGGCCCCTCTCTGCGTGTTTGGAGCGCACTTCTCGTGAACATTCGGCGTCAAACTTGTCTGGTTGTTCCTAAGTGCATCATCCCAATAGGAATCACAATTGCGGTTCTTCATGCTAATCTCCCTCACAAAGATGCTCAAGAGGGGCCGGGTCATTCTTCGCAAGAATAATCTCAAGGACCTACAAGCAGCAGCAGCAGCAGCTGCAGGAGCACTGCGAGTTCCTTCCTTTTCGCCTCCCTCGCGAAGAGTTGGCGAAAAACAAAACATTCGAAAGCATTCAGCTCTCTTTGTGTGTACCACAAAAACCCATACATGCCGTACCGAGACTGACGTATTTTCATCGGCCGGCAGCCTACTACAATAGCGCGGTCGATGTTAACAATAAAAACACACACACACGAACACAAAGAGCACACTGAATGCACAAAACAAACAACAACAACAAAAAAAAACACACACACACACACACAAAGGACACACTCTTCCCACCTTCCGCCAGGGGGAGCGTGTCCAGCGTTACGCCCGGGACCGAGCACTCGAGCGAGTCCTCGCCGTCGGCCATCACCTCCGCGCAGGCGACGCAGGCCTCCCCGTGCCAGTACGACCCCGCGGCGCAGTAGTAGAACGTCCGCTCCACCTCGGTCGCGACGGAGGTCGCCACCGAATCCGCGGCCGCCGTCCGCGTCACCACTCGGAACTTGGCCGCCACCTCTCCGTTGTACACGGCGAACGGGGCGGACGGGTCCGGCGGCGGCGGCGGCGTGCCCACCAGCTGGATGGTGACCTCCTGCCCCCGGACCAGGTAGCCGGACCAGGGCACCGCGGTCCAGGCGAAGTTGTCCGGCGCCGCGCCCTCGAAGGCTCCGGTCTCGTCGTCGGCGGCTTGGGCACCGCCGTCGCCGTCGGTCCGCTGGAGCCTCCACAGCACGCCCAGCTGGCTCCCTGCCGCCGCCGCCGCCGCCGCTTCTTCGTCCGACGAGGAGTACCGCAAGACGAGCTCGTGGGTTACCAGATCCGGGTAGTAGACCTCCGCTGAAGCGAGGGAGGAGGAGGAGGAGGTGGTGGAGGAGGAGGAGGAGGACGTCGAACCGGCAGAGCTGGAGGAGACGAGCTCCACTGTCGAAAAGCCCACGCCGTCGTCCTCGTCCTCGACGTCGGCGAGAGTGAACAATCCGCCGGTGGCGGCCTCAGTGAACGACGGGCACAAGACCCCCATCCCGTTCTCCGCGTCCACGCACTCCTCCGGCACCGAGCACGAAAGCTCCTCCGGCAGGGAGGAGCAGCCGTGCGCGCCGACCCCCAGCAGGGACGACGCGTTGAACCCTGCGTGCCCGAAGTTCTGGTCCCCTAGGACGGCGTTCCTGATCGTCACCGTCCGGGACGCCCGGACCAGGGTCGGCGTGCCGCTGCCGCTGAAGTCGCACGCGTCCAAGACCATGTCCCCCTCGCTCACGACGCTCGGCGAGTCCCCGCTCCAGCCTTCGAAGACGCACGCGAACGCCCGGAACGCCGAGCCGGAGTCCACGTGCAGCGCAAAGGTCGCCTCGAGCTCCTCGGGGGCGACCGCGGTAACGTTGACGGCCCGCGCGTCCGCCCCGGCGAAGAAGAGGTTCGCGCCCGACGGGGTGTGGTCGCCCGCGAGGCGGAGGTCCGTGAGGTTGGCGACGCTGCTGCTGACGTAGATGGTCCCGCCGGACGCCGCCGAGTTGTTCCAGGACTCCCCGCCGCCGCTCCACGAGACGTTGCTCTCGCCGATGCCGAACAGAACGCCTCCGCGCTCCGACGCGCTGTTGGAGCTCGCCAGCCCTCCCTCCAGCCAGACCCCGCCCCCGTCGACAGCGATGACGCCCCCGTCGTACCCCGCCGTGTTACCGACCCAGGATGCCCCGGGCAACTCCTCCCCCCCCACGGCTGCGGTTGCGTCTCGGACGACGGTGACGTCACCGTTCACCACGTAGATGCCGCCGCCGCTCCGCCCGGCCGCGTTGCCCGTGAACTCGACGCCTCCGGTCATCCGCAAGCCCAGGCCGTTGTCCTCCCGGGAGTCGACCACGTACACCGCGCCGCCCCACCGGTCCGCCGTGTTGCCGACGAAAGAGGCGTTGCCGGAGATGGAAACCCCGCCCTCATCGATGTATAGGCCGCCCGCCCGCTCGCCGTGGTTCCCTCGGAAGGAGACGCTTCCGGCGACGGAGGCTTTGCACCCGACGACGTACATCCCGCCCCCGTACTCCGTGGCCGCGTTGCCGGAGAAGTCCATGGTGGCGCCCTCGGCCAGAAAGAGACAGATGTCAATGTCAATCTCGTCCTCGTCCGAGCCCATCTCGAGAGTGAGCCCCCCGCCGCCATCCCCCGAAAAGTTGTCGGTGAAGACCAGGGACGCCCCGTCCCCGTCCACGCTCAGCGTCGTAGACTCCGCGAACATCCCGCCCCCGTCCTCTATCGGGGAAGAGTTTTCCCGAAAGGTGACGGTCGTCCTCGCGCCGACCGACATGGCGGAGTCGTAGGCGCAAACGCCTCCGCCCTTGTTCCCGCTCGATGTGCCCGAGGCGCACGCCTGGAACTCCAAGGAGGCCGAGTCGCCTACATCGACGACCGAGTCTTTCATGTACAAGCCTCCCCCCTTGTCCCCGGCGCTGCACTCCCTGAACCGAGTCCTGCCGTTGCTGGAGATGGTAAGGTTCGATGCGGAGAGCTCGACGCCACCGCCGTCCCCGCCCGATGAGTCAGGCGCCCCGCAGCCCTCGAAGTACACCTGGGCGCCGTCGTCGAACAGACCGTAGGCTTCCTGCATGAACACCGCCCCGCCCCCGAGGGTCCCCGAAGAGCAGTTGTGGAAGTGGTGCAGGCCCTTGAGGGTAACGGTCCCGCCGTCCTGGGCGTAGATGGCGCCGCCGGCGCCCTCCGCCGACAGCGACTCCCACCGTACGTCCGTCCCGGTGACCTCCCCGCCGACCAAGCTGACGGCGCTGCCCCCGTCCTCGCCGCCCCAGGCACCCGACAGGACGACATCGGACAGGTGGAGCGCGCCGCCTGCCTGGACGATGAACAGCCCGCCGCCGCCGCCGCTGCTGCTGATCACCGAGGGCTCAGAGCCTTCCCATCCGGCGGCGGCGGCCGTGCTAGCGATCGCGGCCTCCAGCTCGTCGTCGAGGTCGAGGCCTTGGGCGCTGCTCTGGTTGTACCAACCGTTGCCAATAACCCGAAGCTCGACGCCCGGCGGGACCAAGAACGGTTCTGAGGTTTGAACGCCGCTGCTGTTCCAGTGCACGGTGATTACTACGCTGCTGGAGTTGGTCGCGGTCGCCGCGCAGACGCCGGCTTCCAGCAGCGCCGCGCTGACATCGTCCGGGCCAGAGGAGTCGCCCGCTACGACAATGGGCTCCGAGGTGTCCGCCTCGCAAGAGGACAGCGAGTGCTGCTGCAGGCGTCGCCGTTGTTCATGCGCTCCAACTTCACGAAGAACATTACTTGCCGCGAATATGATAATCCCACATGCGATACTGACCCTCTTGCTTCTCATCTACAGGAACGTACCAACCACACCAGACGGGAGGCCCCGATTCACCTCTTGCATATAGGCCAGCCAACAGAAAGCAGCGGTTGCACGTTTCGCGGGACCGTCCGCCACCTCGAGCAAAGAGCAAATTGTTGTGTACGGAGGAGTACGAATTTTCGAAATACCCCGGTGGCCCGATGGTCTCTGGATCTTCCCGAAAATCTTGGACGCTTTGGGTTGGCGGGCAGGTACTCCCTCTCGCCGCTCCGCTATACACAGCTTGTCCCTCCCAAAACGGCAGTACGAGTGACCAGCCGAAAACGTTGGTTCCTAGACCTCCTCAGATCCGTCTGTCCGACGAGTGAGTGTCGTACCGCCTTCGGCCTTCGGCGGTTGCAAGCAAAAATTGCACGTGATTGACCAGATGGATGACTGTCTGGAGACAATATTGTTCACAAATTTCCAACTTTCAACTGCGGGGGGCTCCAACTGGGACAAATTATGTGGGGATAGGAGGGGCATCGTGATGTGTGTCGATGCTGCCTGCTGTGCTGTAGGGCTGTGGTGGGCGTGCTCAGGACGAACGCAGCAGGCGAGCGAGGCTGCAGCTTAGAAGGCAGATAGCAAATCCATGACGGTGCGCGTACGGCTGCAGAGGCTCGGTCGCCGTAACAGGCCCTTCTATCGAGTCGTGGTAGCCGACTCAAGGGCTCCCAGGGATGGGAAATTCATTGAGCTGGTAAGGCTAATGGCGGAGGTCCCAACTCCAATCTGCAGCAAATGGTCGTGTTTGCCGTCGAGACATGTTGCGAGTTTGAGTCGAGCCGTGGTTGCTAGCCTCTCTCTTTGGTAGCTTGTAGTGTGGGTCCTTGTCCCTTTGCAACAGTAGTGCACTAGGCGCATCCCCCCATACTGCAGATGCGCTTCCCGACCCTTGCCGCGCACACACAGCAGTTCACGCGCTCGCTCGCTCGACGGAATAAAGGCGCCGTAGGTTGCATAAGATACCACCCCCTGGACCGATTTCCAAAGCTTGAGCAGCGAAAGCAGTGACGGTGCCGAACAGGGTGGCGTTAGAACCGCCTCGTTGAGAGGCTTTTCGAAAACGCATGGTTGGCCCCCGACGTAATCTTGGTCGTGGAGTAGTCGGGCATTGAAAATCGGTGCGGGGGCGTGTGGCATCTTGGGCAACCTACTACTGTACCCCAGACTACTATTTAGGTATGCTTGTATATTTGCTTTCCCTTCTGCAAGGGAATCGGATCATATGATACATGACCAGGATCATGCGACCAAGAAGAGAATTAAAAGCCATCTTTGTGGGCAGCGCCAATTCCGCTGCACATGCATGATTTTCTGCGAGCTCATCCCATACATGCTCGTCCCCATGCAAAAAACATTTCATGTACATCTCAACGACCCTCTTCCCTTGTGGGTGGCAGCCCACCTATATTAGTAGTTGCACGGCGGTCAACGGCACCAAAGAAATTGTGGTATTTGCTAAAAGAAACAGGAGAAACACGCCACCGCCACAAGCGAAGAGGTTCCGACATTGGTACGGTGTACATATGCATACAGCGTAACACAGCAGCACAGCAGCAGTAGGTGGAGTAGCGTTTTTGTAAAATACTACCACTGCACCATGGTATGGTATCAATAGTGTTTTGCAACTCCTCGGTGCCATTCAGGTGCCTGCGGCAACTACAGCAGTAGTACATGGCGTAATGTTTTAGCACTTTGGAGGGTGTTGTTGCTGCTGCACTACCCGGCCTTTGTACTGTCCTTGCTCGGATCCGATCCACTCTTTACACCTCGGCGCTAAGTCAATTTGATAAGGCACACTGCTGTACGGGAGATGTTAGGAGTTTCTCCGGGTGTTGAAATTTGAATTTTGAATATGCATGCGTCCGCCAACCGCTGTGCCCGGTAATGGAACGTGTTCGCGTTACTTATCCGCTGCGAAGACTGACTCGTTTTCATTGGTCAGCCGGATTGGCGCGGTCGATGCTAACTGAAGAAATACACGTTGCTTCCCGCGTGCGCCCGCGCTCTGGGAATAACATCTGCTCCGGCGGACTCCAACGACCCTGAGCACAGGTGGGCACCTACAACCCGCTCGCTACCCGCAGCGGTGTGAAGGAGGTCACGTTTAAGGTGGACAGGATACGCTACTGGATTTCGGTCGGTGCTCAGCCGAGCGACAGGGTGGCATGGCTTCTGGGGCAGGTGAGGTATAGTAGCGGTTGCATCTTGTTGGTGGGTGGTTGTTGCCTGCACGTGAAAATGTCGTCTTGCAGTACCTCTCTCTTTTTTATCCTGCACGCTGGTTTACTGTGAGAGAATTGTTGAAGTTTCCTGGTGTTGTTGCAGCCTTCGTCTTGAGGCAAACAGCGCCAAGCTGAATGATGGATTGTCTCGCGCCCAATATCGAAGTGCTCTAGCGAGCAATGGCTTGGTGGCGTCCCGCCTTTCGGGCCCACATGTACAGCAGTGGGACCTCACTCGCGCGTACCTCACCCCGTCGATGCCGACCTACCCTCCGTGCATGGCCTCCAGCATCTACTCGCTGAACGCAAATGTAACTTCGTAATGCCGGTGGACCTCAGCGCATTCCGCATGTTTGTCGCCACGCTTTTTTCTGCTTTCTCCTCCTTTGTTCACTCCACAAACATCCACATGTTTGTTCCCTGTTCCACCGCGCGCACATCCGATTGCGTTCGATTCTCTCCCTCCCCCCCCCCCGACCCTAGTTCGGAATACTGCCGCCCAAGGTTGTCCCCGTAGCACGGACGAAGCAGACAGTGCCGAGGAAGGAGTGGAAGGAGCTCCAGAAGCAGCAGGCTGGGAGCAAAGGTTTCCACACGTCGGCGGCGTGTTTCAGCGCTCTCCAACCCGGGGCTGGCGAGCCAGCTAGTGACCCCCTCCCACGGACTCTATTTTCGGCCAGCGACGACGGTGAACTAACCGACGGAATCGCGACGCGGCGACCGTGGAGCAATGTGTCCCAGTCTTCGTCGCTTGAGACCGGACCTTTGTCCTTCTGGTGGGGAACGGGAGCAGAGAGAGAAACACACCTCAACGGCGAGGGCATTAGCACCACGGCTAGCGGGTCGGATGAGCTCGGCGGTGATATCGCTCTTGATTTGTCTCGAATGTCGCTGACTGGACGCAGCGCGGGGGAGCAGCAAGCGCGGTCGCCGCTCCTCGCCGTTCTTGCTTCGCACCTCAGCCTTCTCGGCCCTGCCGCCTGCTCCGTGATTGGTCTACGGGTGGACGCGGAAGAGGAGGCTCGGGATACACGGTGACAACGCGACGGGGAGAGGGCTGCGTTCGAGGGCTCGGTTGGAGAGATGCGGCCTGTTCTTTTGGGCGTCGCAATCTGCTGGAGAGCTGGCCTTGCGGGGGGAGGGAGCGGGGCGTGGGTGGACTCAGAGTCGCTTAAGTCGGTTGGCCACGCAGAGCATTATTCCCAAAGGGTGCATGCGCATGGGGGCGTAGTCTCCTGCGGATAAACGGTTGGATGGAGTGGGCAGCTATCCTGGGACACATGTGCGTGTTTGCTTTGTTCGAACTGCGTTCGAGGAAGGGGCTGACGAAGTAGCCTCGGGGGTGGCGATTGAAGTTTCCAAGGGTGGTAAGAATAGTACTTGGCTGGTTTGCATTGTTCGCCTGCTGCTGCTGCTGCTGCTGCTGCTGCTACGCCTCGTTCGCGGGATGGCATCAGCAGCCACTGGTGGTGCGAACGGTGGGAATGAAACGTCTGGGTGAAATGCTGCGAGGGTCAGTAGGGGACGGCAGGTTGCGCATATTCTTTTTGCGTTTTGCGAAGAACGAAAAATTTCCCGCCGAGAACAGAATAAACAAGTGAAATGTTTCGCGACGGTCTCCGCGGGGAGCTCGTCCATATCCATCCCTCCACATGTATTGGCTCGTCCATTTCCGGCACCCCTCTGAACACCCTTTTTTTGGGTGCGGCTGCAAAGTATTCACAGCAGTGGGGCGGATTTTTTCGTTTCTTCTCGACGTCCGTGAAGCACTCGCTTTGCCATGAAGCAGAAGGATCGGCAACACGGCAGCCGCAGCTGCTGCTCATGCTGCCTCGGATTGTCAACAGCGCGGTTCGATCGAGTGTTAATTCTGCCGCCTTGTCGTCGTGATCGGCTGGCACGACGGCGGTGTCTTGCAGAATCGAGTGAAAGCGGGCGTATGCACCCGTGCACCGCGTTATGATACGTGTGTGGAGGAGATGTTGATCGCACGCAGTCTAGTGCACAGGAAAGAAGTGCTACAGCAGATGATGTGTTGGTTGTTGCTTTTCGACTCCTGTTGGCTTGGGGCGATGTAGCCCCCCCCCCCCCATCCTCATCGGATGGATTCATGGCATATGCCGGTCGCCCCGGTGGTCTAGTGGGTATACTCGAAAACTTCTAGAGGTCAGGTCAGGGGTTTGAATCTCAGCGTAAGCGAGCTTTCCTTGCAAAGTGAGTTTTTCTCTCGCTTCCGCTTCTGGCCTAGTGGATAGCGCTTGTTCGTGTGTACACAGAAGAGAGTACTGAACTCTTCTCGCATTAAAAATCGAAGGCAAATTACCGCAGGAGGGGAGGGTAGAGAGGGGTTCTTCTGTGTGACCACGCGTTGGAGTAAACGGCACACTAGTGCTGTGAGCGCTGATTTGAAGTGAAGAACAAAAAAAGAAAAGAAAATGGAAAACACGACATGCAACTGCCACAACAAGACACACAACATCCGCACAAAGAAGTCGTGCGTCTCTGTCTACCGGTGGTCCGCGAAAGCAAGAATACAGCTCCGGCCACTACGCTGCAGATTTGCTACGCCCCGCTATTGGTGTTTCCAATGCCGACGGGCGTCGCCGCAACTGTATTCCTTGACGACTTAGTGTATCGGCGATTGTATGCATATTTGCACAGTATGCAGATGGACGGCTTCATTCACGGTCCGGTTTGCCGTTATTTCCTATCGTCCGTGCCGTGTCGCTCATGTGACCAACGATCCTCTCGGACAATCATTTTTCCAAAACTTTGGAAAGCGAGTTGGCGGACCGAGCGAACGTTAACGTTTGCATACAAGTACAGCAGGCTTCTTGGTGCAGGCCGTTGGCGTGTATTGTGGTCACTTTCCCTGTCCCAAGAGCGACACATGAGAGTCGGATGAACGAGAGATTTGATTGATGATGCTGTCACAAACGTCGCAAAGGTGATCGATGATTGTCTATGATGTAGACGGACCTTGTCACAGCTGCTGTGGTGTGCTAATGAGATCATTTGTGAGCATTGTTTGCCTAGCCTACACCGTCGAAGGAGATGGAGACGAAACCCAAGGGGTCGAGAGCGCGATGAGGTGGTGCAACTGTGGACTGTGTGCGAACTGGCACGCAGCAGAGAGGCGCAGGCAGGCAGGTGCGGGTGACGGAGAAAATATAGAAAAATCGGGAGCTCCGTAATTACTGTGGGAGGGTGGACGGGGCCCCGTGGTTAACAGGCCGAGAAACACACACAGACACAGCGAGAGAGCCGGGGTTTGCCCTCTCTTGCGATTGTAGGAGAGCTATCGCATTGGTCCGCCCAGCCCCTTAGAAGTTGGTCTCTCTCCGGAAGGTGCAGCGTAAGCAGGGAGAGCACGCCGCCGCACCGAGGATCAAAAGGTTGGCGCAGTTTCTCTCGTGGAGTTAGGAAAAACGCTGCTGGTGCTTTTTCCCGGCTCTTTTGGTGCGGAAAAATTTGGTCTGGAACGGCCGCCTGCGCGGCAGGCGGGAGGCGTTCGGTTGATCGACAGAGTCAAAAAATGCAGGATGGATCTCGCGGCGGAGGCATCAGGTCAGCGATGGTGACGCCACGATTGACGCGCAACTCGGCGTCGCTGCAGAGTCTCCAGGTCAGAATGGTTTGACGCGCGACGACAATCTGTGTGTCTCAGTTTTTTTTTTGAACGTTTTGGTCTCGTGTCGAAAATCGAAAAGGTGTGTCGTCGAGAGGTGGTCTGTCTCTCTTTTTTTCGCAGAGAGACGGAAAGACAAACCTGGCCATAGGAAGGAGAGGGTTTGAAAAGGCTAGGCTAAGAGGGTGGATATGGTGCTTGGGAACTGTCGGGACGTCGGGAAGTTGTCGGTGATCCATGCATTTCAAGGTGCTTTTCTCTCGCATCCGACTCATACCATCACGCACAACATCGACAACCCAGCAGCTGGATCAGTAACAACCAGCCCAGACTACAACAATTCCTCTCTTTTTTTTTTGAAACTGGGTGTGCCCATGGCGTATGTAATCTGCCCGTGTCACAAAGGAACGAAATATGGCCTGTTGTTTGTGTGGGACATGCGTGGGAGGTTTTCCCGCGTCCTCTAAGACCCTAAGAGTGTATACCCCATTGCAGCCGAAGCTGCCGCACGGGCGTGACGTCGGCGTTGGCATGACTTGTTTGCCCTCTCATCTTGCCAAGTTGCTGTTGGTGTGTTGTAGCGCTTTGCTACCAGAGACAGCGGTTCGTAGTCGGATTATCTATGCTACACGTGTCTGTCTTCGCGAAAAGTCTCACACAAAGAACGAGAGCAGCACACGTCATGTTTTTGTGACGGGGGCGGGCGGTGTTGTGGGGGCCTATGGCCACGGCCAAGTTGGCACGAACACTCTTTCACGGCGCATGTTCTATCTGCTGTACTTATCTGCATGTACACATCTTTGTAGCGGTTTCTTTTGGAGAACGTTCCATGATCCTGCAGAGGTACTATAAGTATACATACAAACATGAAGTAAAACCACTTGGACATCCCATTTTGGAAGCACGTGCTGTGAACTGCTGAAAGTACCATGGTTGCATCGGCGGAAATATGTGCGTTAGTGTTGGTACATCGGCGCTTTCTTCTTGATGTGCTTGACTCAACGCCTGCCTACAGCGGCCAGTTGCGGGACCACTTGTGTCCTAAGCATCCAATGGTCGGTTCCACAGGTGCGTGAGGATATCTTGCGGTCTCGATCCCGTAGATATGCATGTCTGCATGTCTGCGCTTGTATCAATGCAGGACCTGGTTGGTGCGCTTGTGGGTTCATCACCGAATTCCGGCCATCTCACATACTATTTACATCTAGCGCAATTTATTTATTTTATTTTTATTTTTTTTTGTTCTTCACTTCAAAGCAGCGCTCACAGCACTTAGTGCCAACCCGTGGTCACACAGAAGAGCCTATCTCTACCGTCCCCTCCTGCGGTACTTCGCGTTCAATTTTAATGCGAGAAGAGTTCAGCACTCTCTTCCCTCTGTGTACAGACGAACTAGCGCTATCCACTTGGCCAGGAGCGGAAGCGAGAGAAAAACTCACTTTGCAAGAAAAGCTCGCCGGGATTCGAACCCCTGACCTGACCTCGAGAAGGTTACGAGGCTACCAACTAGACCACCGGGGCGACAATTTATAGACCCAGGAGGAAGAATACAGCGGGTGCGTGCGAAGTTGTAGGTTGCAGCAGGGCAAACGCCTGCAGCAATTCCTTCTAAACAGCAGTGGCGCCCGTATCCAGCCGATGATATACATAATGTATGCATAGAGCCGATACTCGTCTTGCCGCTCTTCGCCGAAGGTTCTCCGCCTGCTACTACGAGTACACGTCTAGCCGCGTGTCTCATACACGTGGTAGCAATGAGAACGTTCTAAAAATGGAGCAGGGGCAACCTGCTCCTGTGAATACCTTGCATCACTGATCCCACAGCGGATAGTTGGTCCACCGGAGAGTGGGCGAGCCTTTGTGGACTCATTTTTCCCATCCTCCTATCCAGCAACTTTTGCTCAAAACTCCGACACATGCATCCCTTCGATTGAGAGACATCGTTGTCTCGAATGGGTATTGTCTGATTTTGTGTGTAGGTTTTTATTTTCTCCATGTATTTCAAGACTCTTAAAAAATTGGTGAACTAATTGTAACTCTGTAGTATGTAGCATGCAGGGCTGGGCACTCCCCGACCCTCTTCCGCGGGACAACCCGCGTCTCCGCCGCTTCTAAATAGGGACCGGCGGGGGGCAGCTTTGTGCTGCTTTGCCCTTGCGTTCCAACTCTCGCTAGTTGTGCTTCGTCAGACCATTGGCGGTTTACCCTGCTGTTTTTCTCCCATCGGCAAAGATACATACCTTCAAAAGGTTGACACTTTTGTACCAAAACCACACAGCAAACAAGCCCGATCTGATTGCGCCGCTCACATCAAGATCGAGCCCCCCGCTGAAAGACCCTCAGCCCGTGGCGATGCATCTCTCGCCCTCCCCTTTTTGGCAAAGAGACGATTGACCATCGGTAGTTGTGGTAACAATGCTCCGTCCTCTTGTCAATGGTCTAACGACTACGGCATGCACGACTATGAGTACCCCCCCCCCCCCCCCTCCCTCCCTCCCTCCCCCCGAAGGCTGCTGCGCACGCCGCAGCTTGCGCGGATGGCCTCCTCACCGCGGTGGAAACCCCTCCGTTGAACGGCGGCGGCAGCAGCGGCAGCAGCGCCGCCGGCTCCCCGGCGGGGCACGGCGGGACCGGTCCCAACATTGTCGGCGGCGGGGGGCGAGCGGGGACTCGAAGCGGCGGTAGCGTGGGCTTGGGCGGCGCGCGCGCCAAGCGAGAAGCCCAGCAGGCTTTGGCCCATCTTCAGCAGGCCGGCGGCGTTCGGAACGGTGGGGAGGGGGGGGCGGGGTCATCGGGAACCATGCTGGGAGCAATGCTTGGCGGTAGAGGGGGGCACAAGAAGCAGAAGCCCCCCGGGCTGAGGAGGGGGAAGTGGACGCCCGAGGAGGAGAAGTACGCCAACCGGTGAGAGAGGGTCTTGTCTTCTTGTGCTCCTCGTGTCTCTTGTTAGCCCTTAGAATGGAGCGTGCTGGGGATAGGTAGATACACACCCATCTCTGGACTGCCTACGCAAAGAACAGGACTCCGAGTACGTTTTTTTATAGGCAGGGGGCACTCACACCCTAACCCTAACCCCCACCCCAACGTAGCCAATTCTATACTTTATCCAGTATATTTGCTTGCTTAGAAAAACCTACCGCCATTTGTACACGAGGGGGGTACACGTGTACGGCGGTGCTCGTCGAAATAGCAAGGTGCGGTACGATGCTTCCTTGACCTTCATGTTTTCAAGCTCGTAGCTGTGTGAGTTGTTGATGTGCTCGACTGATCGGTACCAGGCACCATCAGCCCGCGCGCTTTCCAGGGGGGGGGTCCGGGGAATCGCCTTTGTTCGTTCACCGGTACCCAGCTCTGGCTTGACGTGGTGTCGGTGTTTTTTGCTCAACAGCGGTTGTTGTTGTTCTCTCGAGACACGTTCACATCTCGTCTGGACGTTGGTTGCCCTTGACAACATCTCTTCCCTTCTTATCCTTGGTGGCTGGTTTGGCGTCGTCGGGGTGGTCAGTCTTGATCTTGGTTTCCTTTTTTTTTTTCTTGTGTGCATGAAAGAGTTGAGTTTTGCGACAGAAACAACACCCGCACGAGATGGTGGGTGTTTCCAATGTTTTGCCAACTTTTTTTTGGGCCATGCCGCGACAACAAGTGTTGGTGCGGATTGCATCACCGGTACTGATGCGTTGTGATCATGTACCTTTTCCGAGGCGGAAATTTCTGTATCCTCTTGATTTTTAACTAGGAATATTGTCTGAACGAATTTGTGATCGCCTTTCTACCCCCCCCCCCCCCCCCCCCACCCCCTTGGGATTGTGTCTCCCTGCAGGTTAATTTAAAAATTTAAGGGGGGGCTGTTGCCCCCCCCCGACGGAACCACTCTCAAAAAGTTTCCCAACATCATGCTCAACTGCGACCCCCTGCGCATCTCGAAAAAATTTCTCCGCTCCAACTGCATCCGGAAACAGGCGAACTAAATGATGGCTACCAAGCCAACAAAAAACTTGGTAAAATCTCCCTGAACCAGGATAACGGTACGCCTGCTATCCCATTATTCCCACCACCCCCCCAAGAAGCGGGGGAGGGGGGGAA